TAACAAAACCTTCCTGGTCCAGAAAGACAGGGTCTTTGACCAAGGAGTCTCAATTTCTCAAGGGGGTGTGAGAACCTGAGGCCACAATCAAAGGAACTGGTCTTTGAAAAGGAAGCATGAGGCAGGCGGTCTATATCCAGGAGGCAATAGTTCTGTGAGCGCTTACCTATGCCAGGGTCCTGGCAGAGACACTGAAGATTCTCCTGGGCCAGCAGCTCATGGGAGTGGTCCCAAGTCCCACCATTGTGCATTCAAAAGCACTGATCCTCTAACATTAAACATAAACCCAACAAAACAAGGGCTCTGGGATGCCCACTCCAGACCTGGACTTGTAAGGAGGACAGAGCTCATGTTGACTCTGAGAAGACGCCCAGGTCATTCAGTCTCCCCTCTCTCTACCTCTGCTCCTCTTCTCACACCCCGATACTGGACCAGTCCTCTAGCCCACCTTCTGTTCCTGTCCCAGACCCAGCTGCCCCAGGAACCGCAGTTAAGTTTCCTGCGCTGACCCTCCCCACCCCCTCCAGGCACAGCTGCAGGAAACAGTCTCAGGCGAGCCTCTTGGGGATCAGGAGGTTTCGCGTGCACGGAGGTGGGGTGGTGGCATTATCTCTTCTTTGACTGGAACCCTGCCTGTCTGGATCTTCACCCCACCCCCAACCATCACCCTTCACCCCCACCCCCCTTCGCCTTGGAGCAGAAAGATCGTAACAGCGCTGAGATACCAGAATGAGTTAAGGATCCCGCTTTCGCTCCACCAGTGGCACGCAGACTGAAAGTGACTAGATTTCGACGGGGCGGAGGGGGGGGGGGGGGCGGAGGGGGAGCGGCTCTGTGTTCCCACAAGGGGGCAGGGGACAAGGGTGGGGTGAGGATGCCTTGAGGGGCACAGCAAGTGACATCTCCACCTCCAGCCCCTCTCATTGAGTTCAGGCCTGGAAACCCAGATTTTAAAGTATTTGAGCTAATAGGGAGGGCCCTGAGGCTAAACTGTCCCCATTTTACAGATGCGGAACCTGAGGCTGAGGCGGGATGCGACTTGTCCAAGGTCACACAGCGAGTCCGGGCGAGAGGAAAGGCTGTGGCCGGGAACCTTTTCTCAGGAGGGTCTCTCCAGAGCCACTCTCAGGATGGCAGGGTGGTGGGCGTTTGGGAGTGGGCATGGGGCTACGATACCAAATCAAAGCACCCAGCGAGGACGTACCCACGCAAACGGCTTTCCTTCCCATACCGGGGAGGCTTGGACAGAGCCCGGGGAGCGCTGCCGCGGTGGGACGGGACGCCAGACGTAACCGGAACAGAAACAGCTCCGATTCCCATTTCACACAGAAGGCCAGGGTCGGGCTGCCTAACCTCTTTGGCCAGAGCAGCCCCTATCGCACTGTGCGCTGCGGTCAGAGGAAGCCTCCCTCTGGGTCGGAGGTAATTCACCGCCTCCGGGGTGGACCGGCCTCCGGGAACTTCTAACGCCAAGAGGCATCACCAGACCTGGTATCCTGGCCACCTTGCCCAACCTTACACCACCGAACGGCGGCTCGGAGCCACCCCATGGCCAAGCCCGGCTCCCGCGCCTCGGTCCAGCCTCCGGAAGCTCGTGAGCCCACAAGTCTGGGTCCAGGAGAGAGGGGAGCAAGGAACTGGTCCCGACGCCGCCACCCTGAGAGCGGTCGGGCCTCGCTCGGCGCAACAGTCGCGTGGTTCCATCCTCCCTCCTCCCCTCCCCGCCCTCAGCAGGACTTCGGGCCCGGCCCTGTGCTAACTAAGCGCTGGAGGCAGGAGACCCGGAACGAAACCTTCCGGGAAGAAACCCAATTTATGTAAATGGCTTTGCCGTTGAAAGTTTTGCTACGGAAAGAAATCCCGTTGAGAAGGATGTTTGAGAAGCCAAAACACCCTCAGAGAGACATCCACCTCAGTCCTCGGCCACAAAACCTGGCTGCACTCGAGCACACTGCCTCCCGCCTCCCCTCTCTCCGACGTGCAGCCCCTCCTGCGCCCCGCGGCGTCGGCGGTTTGGGGCTGCTATAGCTCTGTGGGCCCGAGACAAACTCCCGCAGCCCAAGTCCAGCCCATTTCCCTGCTCCTGCTTCAGGCAAAGCGAGGCTCACAGGGCTCAGACTGGTTGCTCAGTTCAGTTAAGGCAAAGGTGACACAGCCATCGCTGTCCTAACTTGGTGGGTGCTCTCTAATCCTCATTTCAAAAACATCAAAGAGAGACAACAACCGACGCCAGGGGTCAGAGCTGATTCCTGCTCCTGGATCAGGGGTCTGCTCTGCCCCGCCCAGGTCCATCTGTAAGAATCGTCCAAGTGAGTGACAAAAGGGAAGAGTTTAACCGGGTTTCTCAAGAACCATGTCCGTGGTCTGTCAGGATTTGTTTTCGTTACCAGTGCTACCGGGCGCCTCTGGGACTGCCTTTCTCTGTCTGAAGACTTTAGGCGATGGGGCCCTTCTCCTAGGGCTCAGTCTCCCCATGTATCTAATAGGGAGAAGAGCCCCTGAGATGAGGCCTCTCAAGGTTCTGGAAGATGGAGATCCAGGGGCAGAGAATATTGTCATCATTCGTTCACAGGCTCATTCTCGAGCGGGAGGGCTGGATGCCATTGCCTATCCTGGTCTCCCTGGCCTTGGGGAGCCTTAACTCACACAGCAGCTGGCTTGCCCAATTGTAGTTTTTCTCCAAGGATGCCCATGGTGGCAGCAAGGGGTAGGGGGTGTTCTCCCAGCAGGAATGAGAGGTCAGAGAAGTCCTCCACAAGTCCCTGCCCCTCTCTGGACCTCAGTTTTTCCTTTTTGGTAACACAAGGAAAAAACTAGACAAGAAAATCTGTAAGTGGCTCCCTGCTCAGGGTTGACCTCAGCCGATCTTGGGCTTAAAGCTAGAAGGGCATAGAGTCCTTCCCCCGTGTATAGATGGGGAAACTGAGATCAAGAGACAGAAGGGAATACAGTTCTGAAGAAAGGCAAGGGGAGGTCAAGAGGCCCATAAAAGGCCTCAAAGTTAGGAGAGGGAGGAAGTCCACGTAAAAACCCCCAAACAAGACCTGGATGCCCCCAGCCTGTCCAGCTTCTTGGCTCTCCTCTTCCCTAGTGGGGCCCAGGCTGGGGCAGACCAGCAGAAGTGCAGTGTCACCTGAGATGTTCCCAGTGACCTAGGAAGGGCGCCCTGACTCCAACCCGTCAATGAAGAGGGGGCGTGGCTCTTCAGAACTTCAGACGCTGGCCAGCCTAACTGCCCCTCCCCAACCCCACCCAGACCCATCTCCATGAGGAATGAAATGCTTTATTGATTAAACGATTATTCAGGCGATTGAACTAATCAAAGAGCCCATCGACCGCCATGAATTACATTCTTTGTAGACTGCTCGCTCATAGGGAAAGGCAGCAGGGGCCAGCCCCTGAACACTCACCCATTCCCAACACAAACACAAACCCTAGTCCCAGCACAGGCACCTCTGGGAGTCCCACCTACTCAGGAACCCACTGGGGAAAAGAAGGAAGAGTGAGGATTGAGCAGAGGGGTTCCCCTTCCTGCACTCTCAACCTGGGGGATCCTCTTCAATTCTGCCTCTTCGATTTCTGCCCTAACGTCTCTTCAGTCACATCTAAGCCCTGGGAATTGTCCTGGGTTTGGGCTATAAGTTCACCTCTCTCCTTCTGCTTTCTGACCTATATTTAGGGCTGAGGAACAGATGGGAGGTCACAGATCCACAGGAATGGGGAAAAGGGAGTGCTTGCCCGGGCCAGGAGTGTGTTTGGGTGTGGGTTAGCACACTTGGCCTAAGGAGTAAAAGGCTCCTATACCCAGCTTTTACCTCAGGGCAAACAGAGGCTCCCGCTGCCTGCCACCTCCTCTCAGATTTAAACACATCTTGCTACTCACTGCCTGGGCCTGTGGGAGGCACACCTGGTTCTGTGTCAGAAAGGCCTGTCCGCATACCAGCACCAGAACTGGATGCCCAGAGGAGGCACCCATGTCCACCCTACTTCTGCTCCCCTCCCTTGGAGGGGCACCCACAGATGAAACCTGAGCACACCACACACACACACACACACACACACACACACACACAGGTCAGAGGCTTGTCTAGGTGAAAGCGAAGGCAGGCCGGGGGTCCCCAGAAATGTCTCAACTAGCATATAGGCTTGCCTGCTCGCTCACCTGCCAATGCTGTGCCTGCTGCTGGAGACCCTTTTATACAAACGGTAGGCTCAAAAGTGCCCACAGAGAGAAGCAGTGCCCACAACACACTGAGGGTCTGTGCACACCCCCGGAATTCACACTTTCACTCCTGGTTCTCCTAATAGAATGGGACCTGAGCCTGTTCACAGGCTTAGCACAACAGGACCCCACAGGCCCTAGACCCATCCCTGCACCTAGAGGCTGGCACTTTTGTGTATATTGGCATGTACACAGTGAACAGCTGTTGACATGTACACACCTTTCTCACTTCCAAAATTACTTAGAATAGGACAGATGACCACAGACCCTTTAAAAAGAGTAGATATACACTCAGAGGCTTATCCAAGTTATATATATGACACACATTTTGGATACAAAAGAACAGTATCCAGGAACACCAACTCATAAACACACGAACACATTTCTGAATATAAAGACACACAGGCACATAAACTCGTGGACACACACTCAGACATTTGAAAACCCGGTATACAGGGACACACAAACGCATTGTCACTCTTGCACACTCTGAACCCATATGTAAACACACAGACCCAAACTTTCAGACCCCCCTCCCCCAGAGACACCTACATAAATATTCAGAAATAGAGGAAAAATAAGCAAACTCTCTGACACTTGGAACGATGCAGAAGTCCGTGAATAGACTGGCGAGAAGACACACAGACGTGCCACAGACAGACAGGCAGTCAATCCTGGCAAAAATGAGGCCCCCTCCCCCAGGGCCGAAGCCCCGGGAGGACCAGCACCCGGCTGGGTCCCGGAGTTAGCGCGCCTGGAGCGGGTATCGCGGTCCTACCTGTCCTGCCGGTCCGAGGAGTTGGATAATTTTTCTCTAAATCCATTTTGATTTTTCAGAACTTGATGGAATGGACAGGGGGGGAAAAGTTTCCACTTTTTTTGTGCTTCTTTTTTTTTTTTTTCTGGTGTCAGGGGCCGCTCACAGGTCGGAATAATTCAAGCCTTCCGCTCCCCCGCCGAGCTGGGGTAGCTGATCACTGAGCTGAAACTAAACGTTTTAGGTGGAAAAAAAAAGCGTCCGAAGGCACCGTGAAATGATTAAGGAACTAAAGAGCTTCTCGCCATGTGAGATCATGTCCTGTTCTCGCCAACATCACAAGATGTCCCCAGACACGCCGCGCCCCCAGCGTGCGGCCCCGCACGGCCTGCCCAGAGCCGGGCAAGGTGTCCGCGCTGTGCAGAGGGGCCTGCTCCGCTGGCCAGACGGGGCGGGCCGGGCCGGAGCAGCGCTGAAGGCCAGGAGAGCAACAGTGTCGCAGCCACACCGCCCTGGACTTTTATAAGGGGTTGTGGGGGAGGAGGGAAGGAAGGTTTCAGAAAGCCGGGAGCTAGCCCGCGCACTTACGGGAAGGGGCCGACCAAAGACGAGCCTGGAGCCCCGGCCTCCAGACAGCACCTTCTATAAACCCCTGCGACTTGGTATCACGGCCCTCTCCGCGGTGCGCGGGTCCGGTGACCCCTCTGGGTGCACACCCGGCTGCGAAGGCGGGTGCAGGCCTGGTTTTTGTTTTTAAAGAAATTAACCAATCTGCCAAGCAGGTGCTTTTGAAGGGGGTGCAAAAGCAGGAGATGTTGCCAAGCATCCAGTTTCCTCAGGCTCACCCCTAGGGCGGCGCCCGCCCCCAGAGCTCCCAGCTCCCCACCCCCACCCTAATTTGCAGCTGCTATTGCTATTGCCATTGCTGGGTCCCTAGCTCTAGAGAAGTACGAGAAGCCTGAAGCCTCCAGGACCTACTCGGCCCCCTGGTCGCAGTTCTCCCCACACCACGTCCCATTCTGGTCCGTAGCACAGCGGTTAAGATGTGAAATGCTGGAGATAAAATCCGGCCCTCCGCTTTGGAGCTCCGGCCTGAGCAGAACCATCTCAGGGGGTCCTGGAGACGGGCAGGCGTCCCGGACCCCTGACCCCGGCCCATAAATGGAATCCCTTGGCCCTCAAGCCCCGAGACGTTGCGTCGGCCCTGAGCCCCTGGACTTGATTCCAGAGGGGAAATCAGCCCAAGAGAGACCGGGTAGAAGGGTGGCATGTTCAGCCCGCGCTCTTCGGCCCCGGCTCAAGACTTCCCTCCCCTGACCCTCCCCAACCCCGAGTCCAGATGCTCGGCTCAGCCACTGGAAGCCGGCGGGGTCCCGCTGCGGGGTGGTCGAAGGGGCGCGGTTCTCCGGGGCGGGGGAGCGCTCCACAGAAGGACTCTTGGCCCGCCGGACAGGGGCAGTTTCGGAAAGTGAATCGTCCTCAGCGAGGGAGTTGTTTGCTTTTTGGAGGGGGTGGTCACGAGGCTGGGCCGCAACCGGGGGGGAAAGAGCCCAGAGCTGGAGAAAGGGGGTGGGGGCGCGGCGGGAACCGGACATCGCTTATCCACGGAGCGGATTTCGCCACAATCGGAAACGTGGCTGTGGATTCCCGGGCGGCCCCCCCACCAAGTAGTCTGCGCAGTCACCCTCCGCCGCCTCCTTTCTGCAGCCTGCGGGTCGGGGCCCCTGCCCGGCGGTTTAATTTGGGGGCATCTCGGAGCGCTCCACGCTTCCCCTCCGCGGCCGGGCCCAGCCTCTGCCTCCCGCCTCCGGCTCAGCCGCGCGGGGTGGCTGCGCCCAGGAAGAGAGGCCTGTCCGCACCTCGAGACGAAAAGCCCTCCCGGAATTGACATTTCACCCCGGGCTGGGGGCGGGAGTCGATCGGGTTTCCTTTTGTTTTGTTTTTCTATTTAGAGGGTTTGTTTGGTTTTGTTTTCTGTGAGTTTTTTTTTTAAATTATGTATGAGTCTTTTGTTTCGGGGTTTTGCGTATTGTTTTTTCGTGGATTTCATTTTAACGGGCTTTGCTCTGTGAGTCGTGATCTTTGGGGTGGGTTTTGATCTTGTGTGTGTTTTTTAAACTTTGTTCTTAGGGGTTGTCTTTTTGTGTGTCGTTTGAAGTCTGTTCCTTCTGCGTGGTGCTTTGATCTGTTTTGATTTTGCATTAGTGGGTGTCGTGTGTGTGTTTGTGTTTTGTTTTCTTTGATTTTGATTTTTTTTATGAGCTGTGCGTTTGGATGGGGATCTGGGTTTGCGTTTTCGTGTGTTGGCTTTAGTTTTTGTGTTTGCGGGGTGCTTTGGTGAGTTTTGCGCGTGTGTTTTGGCTTTGTGGGGCTTCTGGATTAGGGAGGGGACACCGGACAGTACTCTGTTCCTGTTCCGAACCCAGGAAGGGCAAAGGATTAGGCCAAGCATCACGAATGGTGGGTTTGCCTGGTTCCGAAATACCTGACCCCCGCACCGTCGCATCCTATTCTCTGAGTTCCAGACCAAGGCAAAACAATTGTGCGTTCCCGAGGGGGCGCCCGCCCTTACTTCTGCTCCTGCGCGGGTCCTGTGGCTCCAGCGCCCAGGTCAGAATTCACAAAGCCCGCTCCCTCCTCCCGGGATACCCAGGCCCAGCCGCCGTCCTGTGGCCCACCCTGTCCGCTGTGGGTTTCTCTCCTCTCGCTTCTGACCTCCCCGACTTCCCGCAGCGTTAGACCGAGGGCCGGCTCCCCGCCGCGGAGCAGGTGGCAAACCTCTTCGGAGCACACGGAATTGACGCTGCGGCTCTAGAGATACTGGGCAGGGGCCAGGGATGCGTGGAGTCGAGGAGCAGAGAGGCGTCGGGATCCCAGGAAAAGCCCCTATTTAGATTGTCCGCAGCCCTAGAATGCTAGAAACCCAACTCCGCTCAGCTTTCGGTTTGGAGAGCCTTGCCCTGGTTTGCAACCACAGACAGAGAAATCCACACTCGGAGCAGACACACTCAGCTAGCGAATGAGAAAGAGGGAGCCGGCGCGTTGGTAGCCGCGGCCTGCATGGCAGAACCGGCGCCGGCACCACCTCAAGGGGAAGCCAAACTATAGCGCCCGGACATGTTCCAGGGACGGAGTAGGCTTTCTCTCTGTCCACATTGCCGGAACTTCAACCTCGATACACGTGGACTTGTTTAATGCTGCACCGGGGAGAAAAGAGACAAATTTAGAGGCAGAAAGACATGCTGGCTAGACCGGCAAGGGAATGCGGGGAGAACCTATAGAAAAGGACAGTATGGAGAGTGAGGAAAACACGGAGGCCGACTGGGGGCACAGGAGAGGGGCCGGTGCGCAGCTCCTCTGGCCTCCCGCGCGCTCTGGCATTCTCTGAGCGGGAGAAAGCAGAAACCCAGAACAGAGTGACAGGAAGAGAAAAGAGTCGCAGAAGGGGTTGGCCTAGGCAGGACGCGAGCTTCCCTCCAGCATCCGACGCTGCAGTCTAGGGAGGGGGAGGCCGAAGTCGCGAAGCGAGAAGCCTCGGCCAGGAGACACCCGAAGACTCCAGGGCTCACGGAGCCGGGATCCGGGTCCAGTTCCGGCCAGGCGCCCCGCCCCCACCCCATCCCGAAACACCCCGCCGGGAATCCAGCAAAGGTTGGGCCGCCGCTGGGCCTCCCTCTGTGCGAGCCCTGGGAGAAGCCGCGGTGAACGACCCTGGCCTTGGGGCTCTGGGCTGACAGTGGGTGGGAGCCGACGTCCAAGGAGCAGGCGAGGAGGAGGAGGCCCCGCCCTAAAGCTGGGAGCCCACTTCTGCGAGCGGCTGAGGCCGCAGCTGGACTAGCGGGATTTGGGGTCCGCGCCGTGAGTGCGCACGTGGCACGCACCTTGGGCAGGCGGCGCCCCTAAAGCCCAGCCCCGCCCCGCCCCGCTTCGTTTGCTGGGTCTGAACGGGTCAGGATTGAGGGTGGACACCGAGTCTCGGCGAGTAGGTCCCTCTCTGTACCAGCTTGGGGTGTGCTTAGGGCTGGCGCCCAGGTGGATGGGGGAGTCTCTTCACTCACATCTCCCCGGGCGCAGAGCGCAAAAAAAGCGCGCAATGCAGACTAGTCGCCGCCGCAGTTTTCCAGTGGCGCCCTCGGCGGAAAGGGGCTGAGGAATGGTTTGGATCAAAGCATCCATCTCTGCGGCCAGTAGGGTCCTCCGCGCACATAGGGCTTCGAGCACTGGCTCGCTGGAGCACCATGTGCTAGCGGCAGGCCACCCAGAAATATTCGGGTACCGCTGGAAAATTCGATGGGGCTGTGTTCGGGAACCTGGTGCTCATGGTGGGTTACTGCTATTGTTGTTTTACTGTACTGCCTTCCTTGCTTTAATTACAAGTTATTGAGAGAAGCCTCAAAAAGCGCAGACCTGGGTCTTTTAGATGGGTTCATTTAAACTCAAATCCAGTAATTCAATTCAGTTCCACGACTGGTTTCCAGCGCACAGGTACCTATGGCAGACGTCAAGTGTATGCCATATACATATGCACAGAGATGATTTGAAGGCAACTCTTGAAGAATTTTCAGATAAAATTCACTCTCTTGGAGTTACATTAAAATATATGAATATGGAAAATAGGCAGTCAGTTATATTTAAAATTTGCCAACACATCCCAGCCATCCACTATTACCTAAGAATCCAAAACGAAGCACTGAAAAGATTTACGGGCCCTCTGATTGTTTAACATTGAAAACAAGTGCAAATGAGTTTATTTCTTATCTTTCCTTTCAGATTTAACAATGTCATAATTTGTAAGTAATAAAACCATATGTTGCTAAAGACAGTTTACATGTAGGATGCTTTATTTCTAGCCATATTTATACTAAGAACTGTTAGCTCTCCCCACCCTTTTTCTTCTGATATTTCTGTGTAATGTGAGCTTTAAATATTTATGCACCAGCCTAGACTTGCATTTATCTAATATGTTTCAAACTAATAACATTTTAATGTGATATAATTTGATTCCATGAAGTAGTGGGACGTAGAGGAACCTACTTTCAAGCGATTTTGAGTGAGTGCACAGGTTAAGTTCTTTAAGTTTTTGGACGCAGAGCAGAATGTTAAACAGAAGTGAAGCCAGCCTACAAGTAGGCCCTTTAATGTTCT